CCCCCCCCCCCCCCAAATCTCTTTGTACAGAAAATGAAGGAAGCTGCTGCAGGCAAGCAGTGATACACTGCTGAGCGTGGCCGCCTCAAGCAGATCTATCAAGGGAAAAGGGAACATCTCCAAATCAAGAGTAGAATATAAAAAGGCAAACGAGAAGCTCTGCCAAAAAGCAGCAAGTTGGGAGGGAAAGCTGTATTCCTCTCTCAATCTCCCCACAAACATTCCCCCCCATTTATTTTCTTTACCCTTAAATTCTGCATACACACACACACACACACACACTTTTTTTTTACAAGCAGAAGGCTGAACTGCCAACTCTTTCACATACTACCCATGAGATGAGGTGGGGCCTCTCCCTCTCTCTCTGGCAACCACTTAGCTTCAGAAATGATGTGAGGGTAGAAAAAGGCCACTCTGCTGGAAATTGTCACTCTTACACAAGCTGGCTCTATTCAGTTCCCTGATCAAAGCACTGCCTTACAGAGAAAGTCGATTTGCACGCCCCAGGACAAAATAATCTAATTTACAAGCAGAGGCTATAGAACTTTCTTTATGGAAGAAGAGCAAAAATATAATAAATAAAATAAAAAGAATGCATAGGCACAAAGCAATTCTATAGCTTTCAAATTACTCACATGCATACGGATATATGGTAAGATTTCTTTCCACTTAACAGAACACCAGGAAGAGGAATTTGGTTACACTAATTGCAAGACAGTAAGTTTGTATTTGTCTGTGTAAACAGTTTCACAGGTAATTTATTCACTGGTGCACACCAGCATCTTCCTGAAACCCTCTGAACTTCAGATGAGAAAGCTAGTCAAATTCCAAAGATACAGAGAGAGAGAGAGAGAGAACTGGAATGCTGGCAGGTACATTTGGTACAAATGCCCTCTTTTCTTTGGATAAGCTGGGAAGCCTGTTTTCTGCCAAGATGATGCTATTTATGGGAGAAACACTGGCTATGTTCAGATAAACAGCACAACTCCCATTGACATGAAACGAGCACAGGATTTCTCCTGCCATTTCCCTCCCTTTGACATCCAGAAGCAGAGCAGAAAATATAAAGCAAGATCCTTAAAATAAAATAGAAAATGACCAGTGGGATTTAAGTGCCCTCTCCCCATCCCCACTTAGATGGCTTGAAATGGGCAAGATCCCATTTTATCGTAGCCCTTCGGCAGCTGATCAACATGGTAGGAGCACTGCCTGCTAGCAGCCAAATCTGTGGTTATAGTTTCCCCACCACTATGGTCACCACAAAAGGGGATGTGAACGTGAGGTTTCTATCCAGAATTCATGTTGTAATGGTTTTAACTGTCAATCAAAACACAAGAGCAGGAAATCTCTGAATGGAAAAGGGATCATACAGCAATAATCCCAATCTGCAGCCAATCTGGCTCCACACCAAGTGTTTTGGAATTTAAATCCCATCAACCCTAAACAATATGGCCAATAATGGGGGTTTATGGAAACTGTAATCCAAAGCAGTCAAAAGGCATTAAGATGCCCTCACATTCAGAAAGATGGAAACAACAGACAAGAGATATTTTGATGGGTCATGCTAACGGGCTCTCTACCCTTCAGAAGAGTGGTTCCCAACCTTGGGTTCTTGGACTATAACTCCCAGAAGCCTTCACCACCAGCTGTGCTGGCCAGGATTTCTGGGAGTTGTAATCCAAGAACATCTGGGGACCCAAGTTTGAGAATCACTGCTTTAGAACCTTTAGAATCAAGTAGCTAGCAAGACGCTTGCAGCCACCCACATGCAGAGCACACAGGCAACAGCCAGGTAATTTTCTGTAGATGAGAAGCACCACACGGGGCTCCTCTATTTGCCAGGCTATTTGAAGATAAGGGGAATTACAGTTCGACACATCTGGAGGGCACAAGATGGAGGAAGACACAGCTATATCTTTAAACTTCCACGGAGGAAGCATTTCACATAAACAGTGTGAAATAAAAGGAAGATGGAGAGGCAGAAAGATTCAGCATCAGAAAGTGTTTCTCAATTTATCAGGTATAAAACTTTTTAGAAACATTCTTCACCCTCTCTCTCTCAAAAACCCAGACGTGGTACTCTGTTGAAGCATACTCTCAAGCAGCTATCTGCGATGTTGCTTTGCTGCTGGTCTCAGGGACCATAAACATGCCCACATGGAAGAGGAGGGGGCCAAAATTGGTATCTGTGTCTTCACACCCACATTTTTTTCTTTCCTGTTTTGATTAAGGATTGCCTTTGGTATTGTAAGGAAAAGATGCTCTGATTGACCTAGCCCCTGCCCCCCCCCCAATGATATAAACAAAGGAAAAAAACTGGTGGCTCATCCACAGACTGAAAAGCCAGACCACTGTTTAATGGCTGGACAGACAGGCCCAATATGAAGAGACAGGATTTAACCCCTGGTATCAGAGAAACTGAGGGATACATGCTATCATTAGTACCCAGTTAGAATATATCTACAGCATTCTAAGAAATCGGACTTGGTAAGTAAGTCCACACTAATACATGTCCCACTGATTCAATGGGTCCACTCTAATTGGGATCCATAATTGGACTTCCTAGTCTACCTGTCCACTTATTACATTTACAAAGAGCTAAAGAACAGGACCAGAGCTTTGCATGTGGCAGGTCCCAGCCAGGTTCATTCACTGGTTCAAACCCTAAGTTACTGGGGGTGGTGAGGGTGACATCATTTAAGAGCAAATTTAATGATAGGGGGAGTCAGACCGAAAAGCAAGGAGTGGGTTTGTAGCTTTGCATTTGACATCCCACCCCACCCTCTCTTTAACACACACACACATACACACACACACACACACACACACACACACACACACACAGACTGACTGACTTACAAAGACAGAAAGAACAGGCCCACCATGCCTAGAGAATGTCGCTTTAAAAATTACATAAATTATAAAATTAAAATTATTTTACCACTGTGATCCAATTCTCCAATTCTCCTCAAGGAGATAGTAATTAGGATGTTAGTTAGTAATTAAAAAGTAATTCTTTACAGTCCACGATTTCTCTAAGGCAACCAGTTACTTACAGATTTTTTAAAAATCTGACTGCCTATGATACAAAATATTATCTCCCCCCCACCCACACCCAAAGCACGGGCTGGCCCTTGAACCATGCCATTTTCCTTCATCATTAATGAGACCCTACTTCTATAATGATAAAACTCAACATTACTGTAATGTCATTAGCTTCAGTGTTGGGAAATAGAACTAATTATAAGTAACTAGTTAACTGTATGCCCTGTCAGAACGAGGGAGGAAATTATACCATAAGGCAGAGAATTCACTCACACATTATGGGCTGGATGATAAATACTCTAAGCTAGTATACAAGAGATTCCAATGATTCAGGCTGATGACTGTAAGGAGCAAGAAGTGTGGAACTCCAGGCCTACTACCTGCAACAAAGACAGATCTGCCTATACTGTACAATATATGGTGAGTTCCAAATATATAATCACTCCTCTTAGGACAGGAGGAGATGGGGACAAGCTGTCTGACATGGTACCATTCCAAAAGTCTGCCCTTTAAAAGCTCCCTTAGTATTAAAAACATTTTATGGTCATGTGTTTTCAAGATCTTTCTTCACTGTGCCAATCTCTCATACTTACTGGAAAGTGAGGTAGAGAAACTTGACCATTGGCTTTGACACTACGATGCATTTCCCTCTGCAGCTGCTTCTTGCTCCCAAGCCTATAAGGCGGGATCCCATCCCTGAAAATGGGGAAGAAGAAGGAAAGAAATATTATTTACTTTTTCCAGCCAAAGCACTCCAGACTGCAATGAAACAAACATAGAAACACTTGCATTTATTTATTCAAAAGAAGAGGACTTCAGTATGACTGGCTCTCCTGAAGGCCTGAAAGCGAGAAACAGTTTAGTTTAGTTTTTCTAACTCAGAGCTTGAAAAATATCCTATTTCAAAGTATTTGTCACTAGTTGTGGGAAAGGGAAGCAATCTGAAGAATAAATGTGTTCAACCAACCAGTAGTTTTTTGCTGCCTGTGTGTTATGTACCATCAAGTCATCTAGGACTTCTGTTGACTCTAATAGAGTTTCTGGGGTATATGAGACACTGAAGAGGTGGTTTCACCAATGCTTCCTTGCCCCCATCCTAGAAAGCTTCCATGCCTAAACAGGGATTAAAACCCATGTCTCCTGAGTCCCAGTCCAGCACTCTGTCCACTACACTACACTGGCTTCAACCTGGCCTATAACAGAACCAAACTTTGCAAAAACCAGCCATGCTTCCCAGTCAAAGCCCGTATCTGCTTCTTCCATATATAAACTACTTTGAAACTAAATTTCTGCAAGCAAAATCCCTGAAGGGCAAAATGAGGGTATATTCTCTTTGTTAGGATGTATAATGTGGTTTCTATGGTTCCATCCTAACACTGCTCTGTATTTATCCTCATAGTGGTGAGAATCATGTCCAGCTAAGGATACAGAAAACAGACAAAGTGACAATGGCTTGTGAACAAAGGAATGGGACTATCAAGTTGTCAATCAGCAGGCCCTAACCAGGGTGATAAACTGTACACCAGATAGACTTAGTTGCTTATAGGGCAGAGGTCAGTCTATTAAGGGGGATAAATAATTTACACCACTACAGAAAGCTATGTTATTAACATACATAGTGCATTAAGAAGCCTTGATCTCTATTTAGGCCTTTAAAGATGTGCTAACACTTATCTATGTAGCCAATTTGTGCTTTCTCACCCTGAAGTCTCCTTTTGTAATTCCTCTTTACTACCATAGACATTCTGAGATCCATAACAGAACATCCTGGGATGTTTGTGACAAGCCTCTGTTGCCAACATTGGGCAGACGGTTGTGTGTCAGTAGTTGTTTAAGTTCTGTTATAGTCCAGGTTGTCAGTAGGTAAGTACAAGCCAGGCCTTGAAAACCTGGAAGAGAGAATTATTGTTATCCAGAATGGGCTACTGGTCATTGATGATACATTTCAATCGCCTCAGACGGGAGCTGCAGATAACTATTACTGTATTTTTTGCACCATAAGACTCACTTTTTTCCCACAAAACAGGGGTGTGGAAAGTCTGTGCGTCTTATGGAGCGAAGAAAACAGATTATATTTTCCTGTTTTCTTCTTGGGCTACTGGTCATTGATGATACATTTCAGTCACCTCAGATGGGAGCTGCAGATAACTATTAATTTGTTCGGTCTAACCTTCCCTTCTCCTAAAAAATTGGTGCGTCTTATGGAAAGGTGCGTCTTATGGAGCGAAAAATACGGTAATTTGTTCGGTCTAACCTTCTCATAGCAGGTTGTTCCTGGGTGCCAGTCTGGTTTTTTTTTTTGCACTTTCAGCTTGTTGAGTGGGTACTGTGGTTTAAGAAATGCCTGCTCTTAATTCCTGACACCCAGAAAGTGAACTTGTCATGTGGAGTTGTACAGGCTTAGGTTGCTGGAAGGATGAAAATTACTGGAATCCTGGTGGAATTTCTCCAGCTGCCCCTTGCCATACATCCAGATGATGACAATGTCATCCATGACAATAGACAAAGGACCACTTTCTGGATAAAGGAACTGAGGAAACATTATTCCAGGTCATCCACAAATATGAGATTGGGCTTTCAGGGCTTGTGACGATGGCTTCCAGCAAGCACCAATGGCGCACACATGCTGCCATTCCCTAGCATATTTTGAGATTTGTTGTTTTGAAGAGCTTCAAGCAAAACCGATGTTGGGATAAGTGGACATCATCTTTCAGCCCATGATTCTCAAATATACTGATTAGAAAGACCCAATGAACACAGTGACACTTACTTCAAAGTAAACATGCATGAGATTGCACAGCACATCTGCCCAATGCAGAAATGGCTGGGAGCTAATTGGGCTCCAAGGCTCCTTTTACTAAGATTTATTCCCATTTTATTCCCCCCTAAAAATATATATCCATGGCCTCTTGGAACAGACTTTCTGAGCATAGCCAAGCAGCAGTTAAGTGAATTTTGAGAGCTAGCAAAGCAGTCAAGCACCTGGGTGGTCAACTAAGAGGTCCTGTTTCAAATCTTTGCCCTGCCATGAGCTCACAAGGTGGCCCAAGGCATGTCACTGCCTTGCAGCCTCAGCAGTCCTTGGACCCATATCTGTACAACCCCAGAGAAGAGGAAGCCCTTACATCTCTACTCAGTATCTGCTCCCCAAAGGTTCATGAATGTGAAACAGGAAGGGAAGCTTTACCAGAGAGCTACAAAAGCCAACATATGCCTGCCTTGTATGGATGCCGTGCAGTCCATCCGATCAGCAGTTGTGGGTTCACCAAACAAGGGGGGGGAACCAACCTCCACATGGACTTGTGTTTGTTCACCACATTACTGCAGGCTGCAGAGCTTTTAAATAAGGGGTGGCATTCGAAACTCTGCAAATTCTACCTAGAAATTCATCTCAATTGAAAATGGTTCTACCAAATCTGGGTGCCTTGGCATCTTTTCAGCCTCCCCCCAAAAAATAATAAATACATTCTAGCATCAGAACAAGTTGTTCTGTGGAGTTATGTTTTGAGCAATGGCCTGGAAGAGGGAGCGGGGGTGGAATGCAGCTGCCTCCCTCCTGCTCAGGTAGATAGCTAAAGCTCTGTTGGAACATCAGCACACTAACCGCACATTGAATACGTACTGTTTTCTGGAAGCAATTTACAGGGCAGATTTAATCTACAAGAGTCAAAACTCTTAAGAATTCACAAGAGACTGTCCCTGCTCCTCAGAGATTCCCCACTACAACCTTACATGACTTCCGGAAAGCCACCTCCTTTTCTCAATGCCTTCCACAAGCTCTGTCTGAACAGCAGCTCCAGCGGCAGAATTCCCTTCCACAGGAGGCGTGCCATGGCCCAAGGCGAAATACCATTCCCAAGCATTAAGCCCCGCCTGCCAGTATTTCTGTGGCTTTAAACATTTGTTTAATTTCACCAGCTTCAGGAAATGGATGCATGAAAGTTACACGCAGCCATTCATCTCAAAGACCATGTCAATAGAGACTGTACTAATCATGATAAAAGATTGCACACCATAGTTTGTACTTCCAGAAGTAACATAGGCAAACCATGGTTTGGAGCTGCCCCGCCTGTTGTCATTTTCCATTGTGCCCAGCTTTCAGTTTCATAAATCCACTTGCCTTTCAATGGAAGTGGCTGTGTCTTACAAAGCATGGTTTGCCAGCTGGTAGTTAGGTAGGCCCTCCCTTGCTTTAACTTCTTTGCTAGCTTCTGTGCAGAGAACCTGGCCTGATTGAAAGGTAGTTGTCCATTATATCGGAAGCAGCAAACTTTGGACTCGGATTATCTGTATTCCAGAGCTATACGGTTGAGATAAAATCTGTCTTAATACAATGCACTGAGAGGTACGTGAAAACTAGTTTGCAGAAGAGAAGTGGGCATTACTAGCAATAATAACTAATAATAACTAGCCGCCTAGAGTGGTCGAAATGACTAGATAGGCGGGGTATAAATACAATAAATAAATAAATAGATAAAAATAAATAAGTATGGTGTCAGGAGAAAAGATATGGGTAAGTAAGGGACAGTACATGGGAATTACCTACAGACTCATGCCTTGCTTGTTTGAAGTGCTGGCCTTCATATCACCACTTAAATTTTCTTCCTTGGGACCATGAAGTGATCTGCCTACACTAGGCCAAACTGGACTTGATACATGGAAGGATTGGCTGGCCATAGAGACTGTAATGCTTCTCAAGGTGCTAAAGATTTTATATTTGCCAACACACACACACTCTAAACCCTGACGTACAATAATTGGAAACCTTCTTCCCTGGCTGTATTTTGCCCTGTCTGAAGAGCATCTTGCTAGTAACAAAGAACAGAAACTCTTTTAAGAGAACCACAGTAAAATGGATTCCGTGTGACTATACTGCACGGCACTACATGCAGCGCTCCTTTTACCAGTCTAAACCCGCACAGCACCCGTGGCCTGTTCATAGACCTTCTAGATCTTCCCAGATGTTTTGAACACTCCTTAACACTATAATTTGGATAAGTGAGGGTGTCCTTTTAATTGGGTTGCTTAAACAGCAGCAATCTTGGAACAAGATGTTAATTAAAATTAAATAAAAGGCCTGGTGAATCTCATTTTAGGAGGAGAGTGACATTACTTAACAAGCCTGAGAAACAGAACTGGGCATTATAATGAGGATTTGAGAGACGGAGCCCTTGAATATCTAAAATGAAGGAGCAGTGGAGGAAAAGAAGAACTGATAATGGATTAATACAGGCAAGACCTGCAGGTGCTGGGCAAGTTTTTAAACCAAAAAGGGGTAGCCTAGTGAACAAGAGAGAATTATTCTGGAATCTTATTTTTTGGTAAATGTTAGGTCATTTCAGACTTACAGGGCAGCTATAACGAAGTCACCTTCCCTCTCAGCTTTCCTATTTGAAAGATGGAACAATGGGGGCTGTATTTCACAGAGTAGCACAAGGTCAATGGAAGTAAGAGACTGCAAAATTCTTTGCATATTAAGTTATTTTGGTGTGGGAAATTGCAAAGCGTGGAAAAGTAACTTTTTTGACTGCAACTCCCAGAATCCCCCAACCAGCAAAACTTTGACAGCTGGGGAGTTGTGGTCCAAAAAATAGTATTTCCAAGATCTGGAAAACACAGTTATGGATGGCTATGAAGCTCAGCTCAGCCGTCCCTATTCCTTGGACTCAATTGTATGATAAGGCTACTGCAAAGTTAAATATCTCAACCTCATAACAGGCTGAACTCCTTAGAAGAGGAATGCAAATCTGGCAAAGATGAGATATAAGACTGTTCCAATCTTACAACAACAATACTAGTGGTTTTAGTGTTTTATCACCTGATTTTATATTTTCAATCTTGTACACAGCTTTGTATTTTCTTCTCAAGATGAAAAGTGGTACAAAGCTGTCTTTAGTTAACAGTGAATACAGCAAAATACTGCTGTGGTAAGGGACATAACCTAGACAACACTGAAAATATTTAAAGGCATTTTAAAATAAGAGCCGGTGTAACAAAAATAATATAATGAGATATGTGTGTGTGAAGTTTCTAATACTGAATTCAGTGTAATCTGCTGTACTTTTCAGCAGCACAATATCTGTACTAAATATCCCAGTGTGTCTCTCTGTGTACTAAATCCAACTCTGGGCAGAGGACCTGCATAGTTTTTAGGCACTGAGGAGCACAGTTTAATTATAAACATTTTAACTAACCAGTCTGGTGTTCAGCCAATCTGTTTCTGGGGGAACACTAGTTTGAAGTCTTCTTTCCAGTCAGCTGCCATTTAAGCTGAGCCAATTATCTTAGCCTTTTGACTTAGATGTGCCTGACCTAACCTGAATGTAGTTTCACTGCTTCTTTTGAAATATCAGACTCATGCGCATATGCATTCACTCCCATCTTCATTTGGCAATGGCTCTGAAACGGAGCCTCTGATCTTGCCAACATCAAAAGCCTGGTTTGTAAGATAAGGTAATATTTGAAGTTCGCTCAGCAGTATTCCCCTGTGTCCAAAGTAAATCCATAAATAAGATATAACCAAATAATAAAAAAGTCCTCTTTCGTCTCCCTCTCTCTTTCTCCTTCCCTCCAATCAAGAAATGGAAATTCGAATTTGCCTGATGCTTTGTGGCCAACTCCAAAAAAGAGAGAGAGAGAGAGATTAAACAAAAACACAACATTGATCCTTGGGGTTAAATACAAATTCAGAAAAAGAGCGTGTACATTTTCTTTCTGCCACCTGGGGGGCTGCCATGAAAACACAGACCAGATTAGAAAGGCTTCTGATGTCTGCAGATTCTGTTCCTTGGTCTATATACCCTGCCAAAGCTATTGTGCATGTGGGCGTACACACACACACATTCACTCACAATCACAGAGAGAATATCACAACTTTGGCAGTTATATTACTGTAAGAAAGAACCATTATATCATGCCCCTGCATCAGAAAAGGGGGGGGGACCCAGCAGAAGAAACAGCTGATTTTACTCTTCTCCCATTCCAGCCCCCTCCTCATACACATACAAAACCTTTAAGAGGAAACACACATTCATCCGTTTACTCAAGTTTCTCTTCCATGGACACTCATGGCAGGGAAGGAAATTCAAACACAAAAACTTGGCCTACATGCTGGTGTTGCTGCAACTAGCAACAGCTGTTGGAAAGAGAGCAACATGTCCAGCTTTTAAGCATTTGCAGACAGAGGCACAAACACACAATCACACAATCACACACACACGCCCTCTTGCTTCCAAGTTTAAGAATGCTTCAAACTACAGGAAATTCAAACATTTTGAAAGGCTTCAAACACAGGGTGGGGAGGATGGGACATTTCGGATCACTCTGCCATAGGAACTGATTTAAGTACCTTGAGTTTTGGTTAGGCTGCTCTCTAAAACCCAAGTCTGGGTTCTACTAAAATACATGCTCCCCCACCCCACCCCACCCCCTGCGCTCCACCCCTCCACCCTGCACCCTAACCCCTCCCCATATCTTGAAGCTCCCAGCAGTTTAATCAGGCAAGCTTCCCCTGCTCCTCACAGCCTGTACCGGCTATTGTTATGGCAGGAAAAAACAGCCAGGCTCCTTTCATGCCCGGCTTTATGGGGGAGCTCCTATTCACTTGTTCAAGTAAATTTCAAAGCGGCCTGCTACCCTCTTATCCCCTCTAAGCTCCCCTAGACTAACAATAGGCTGAAAGCGATTCAGTTAAGCCTTTCATCCACCATGCACTTTATTTCTCACTCAGCGCTCTCATCTGTATAAGGCCCTACAATTGGCATTGCTGTGAAGAGAGGGTATAATCCCAGGCCAGTGAGTCCTCAGTGACCCAACATGGGTCCAAAAATGACTAACCCACTGAATGCTCTGTTGACATGCAAACACATACAAACCTCGCAAGCACCAGCAAGCAAGCTGGATAAGAAAAAAATATATAAAATATACACATCAATGCTGTTGACTGAAAAAGGGAAGGGGGTAAGAGCCTACTTTTCCAAAGTATTAAAACAAAACCCAGAGACCTTTGGGTAGTGTGGGCGGCATATAAATTAAATAAATAAATAAACAAAACAAAAGGTAAAAATACACCATCACGAATCTAGATGTAGCGATGCAAATCAGGTACAGTAAGTATATTTACAGGATTCATTTTTCAGTGTCTATTTTCATCATGGGTACAGGGAGACATGGCTGTGCCCACTCCCCCATGAAGGGAACATGTAAATGAAGATGCATTTCCAATATGAGACTTCAAAACTGATTTCAATTACACTAGCAAATTTAGGCATGTCTACTTAGAAGCAAATCCAATATCTTCTGTTGGGTTTATCCCCATGGAAGTATAGATCTGAAGGTGAAATTAAGCACTTGAAATGAAGCCCTTGGGTGTCTATGGGTGGGAGAGCAAACCTTAAGCATTACCAAAATGATCCTCAGTCTATGAAATAATTTAAAAAACAAACATATGTTCCATTCTAAAAAGTGAAAGATAATTCATTCTCAGAGCAGACTGGGATACTTAAGCAATAAGCTCCAACCCTTTTTCCAGGAAGAAAAATACAACTGGACATTGGGAAGGAGCAGGGAGACATAAGAATTGGCAATAAATGTCAAAATTGCCAGAAGTTATCCAGAGGTTTGGGCCAAGGCAGGTAATTTTTTTTAATTCTTCATTGTCTTTAGTTGCAGAAGACTAGGATTTTTTGTGAGACCATTGCTCTTGTTCTTCCTCCAGAGACTCTCTAAGAAAACACTGGCCATCAAAATGCCCAGGGCCCCCACCTCCTTTACAGAATGAACTGGGCTAGGCTTGACATAAGAAAGCCACTGGCTCTTCAGGTTAATAACACTTGGGAGTTAAGCTGTAACTCAGGAAAAGTACTTCCTGGAGGAAGCAATTTCTTTTTATGGTTGCTAATTAGATAATAATAGTACACCTAGCCTCAGAAACAAAGGCTGAGGATATTGGGACAAGGTTATGGATAACTTCCCTGGATTAGCAGTTGGCTTGCTAGTCCAACTGGGAGAACAAGACTGTTCACCTGAGGGGCTGGAAGAGAATTCCTGTAAAGTTTTGGCAATGAAGGGGGGTGGGTGGGAAGAGAAATTACAGGTCAGTGACAAACCTTGCTGTATTCCAGCCCATTATTCCTGGTTCACGCATCATTGCATGATGGCTAGAAGGCACCAAAAGTATGACCTGAGAGCAGAATTTGAACAGGCCTCAAAGCAGAAATGACTGAACTGTCCAATCCTTGCAAGGCATAAGGAAGACCTCTTGTTCAACTAACTAATATACTTACACGCTACTGTCTGTCATTGACATGGAGTCATCAGTCAGGGCATCACTAGATATTTCGCTATCATTTGCACTCGTGGCAGGAGCAAAGACATAGCCGGAGTTCACGTGGTAAGGATTAACAGGATCATTTCTCTTGAATGACCTAGTGATCAACCAAAAAAGGAGAAGAATGATTATTGTTCAGATATGGGAGACAGACATAAAAAGGGGGCAAAGACTGATGAAGTAGTTAGCCAAATACACACAAAGAGAAAACACAGAACTAATATCACCAACACCAGGAAATAAGTGCCATCAAGTTTAGGTAAAGGTAAAGGTTCCCCTTGACAATTTTTGTCCAGTTGTGTCCGACTCTAGGGGGCGGTGCTCATCCCCGTTTCCAAGCCATAGAGCCAGCGTTTGTCCGAAGACAATCTTCCCTGGTCACATGGCCAGTGCGACTTGGACACAGAATGCTGTTACCTTCCCACCGAGGTGGTCCCTATTTATCTACTTGCATTTGCATGCTTTCGAACCGCTAGGTTGGCGGGAGCTGGGACAAGCGACGGGCGCTCACTCCGTCGCGTGGATTCGATCTTACGACTGCTTGGTCTTCTGACCCTGCAGCACAGGCTTCTGCAGTTTAGCCCACAGTGCCACCACGTCCCTGTGCCATCAAGTTTAATGGAACATTAATGGAAGTATGAGTGACTCTAGAATGGATGAGCACCATAGGTTTCTATCAGTTACTTTATGTCCACTGTTATAGAATTTTACAGGTGATTTTGTAACAGGAATTTGGGGGGGGACATATGACCCTCCCAATATGGTAGGACAAGGTCCATCAACATTAGTTAGAACAGGCAATGCTAAATGATAAAAGGTGTTGCAGTCCAGTTGTATCTGGAGGAAGTTCTTCACTCCTGCTCTACACTCAAAACTTAAAGGTGTCACATTTAAAAGGAAGAAAGTTCAACTTCTTTTAAACTATCAAATTCAGACTCTGTGCTTTTTAAATCTGCATTTCCTTCAAAGAGTTCAGGATAGAGAGAAGGGTGTGTGCGCACATGTGTGTTTCCCTCACTGTATCATAACAACCTTGTGAGGCTAGTTAAGACATGAGAGACCAGCTGTAGGTAAGACAATGAACACTGATTCAGTTTAACCTGGGTCCACAGTCCTAATCTCTCCAGAAGCATGCCCTCTACATGGCTGACTTCTGAAACCACCAAGTAAACCTGGCTGGTGCCCTCTCTGCTGTCCTTCCACCAGCAGGCTTTTAAAAAATAAAATCAAACAAACCTTTGGAATTTAATGGTGATTAAAGGTGATCTTGATCAGTTGAGTGCAGCTATCTTTTCACTGATCCATTTCCACAGTGTCTGAATGCATGTGTGCCTATGTTTCAATTGTATTTTGTTTATTGTCCTTTTTTTTTAAATTAACTACTCTGAGTGTCATTTTTGGAGGAAAAGTACAGGATAAAATTAATAAATAAAAAGTGATATATTAAAAAAAACCAAGATTTCAGTGGTGTTAGAGAAAGCACCTGCGCAAAGCTAATAACATCTCTTCTTTCCCCCCCACAGCACATTACTATTTGTCTGAAAGCCCATTGCTTAGCATAGTATGTTGCACTAGAGTAAGCCAACTGAATCAGTAGGGATTTGGTGAGTTTACTCCGCCACAAGTTCCATTGATTCAAACAGGCCCATTATTGTTGCAACTCACTCTGCTAAATGAGTGTTGGCCTACATGGCCTAATCAAAGGTAAAATATCCTACTGAGGTCAGTAATTCACAGTGCAGTGGGCATATAGCCTTGATATTATTGTGGGGACTACTAAGACCATTTGTTATATCAGAGAATTCCACATAGTTTGTGCTGTCCTATGAAGGTGCCGGCCACAGAGACTGGTGAAACATTAGGAAGAACAACCTTCAGAACACGGCCAAAGAGCCCGAAAAACCCACAACAACCATTAATTCCACATCAGTTGTTTAACAAATGACTATATTGTAGTGAAGCTTGGTTTGGAATTATAAATACCATTATTCTAGGGAGCTTCACAGAATGGACATTAGCAATCTCAGAGTTCACCTCTTCTTTAAAGTAAGGAATGAGGAATCTGTGGCCCTCCAGACTGCCAGTCCCATCAACTGACATGGCTGGATAGTTACATTTCAATTACAACTGGAGGGCTACCCATACATGCACTAAGGTAAGGTCTTAGCATCTTTGATAAGTTTTACCTTAAGGAAGTCCAGGGGTGGTGCGAGGGGATAATGGCTTTTTCCATTTTTATTCTACTTTTTACTCTTTCAACAAGGTTAGGATTTCCCTTCAGACACTCAACCTATGTTCCTGCTATTTAAATCCTCATTTGGGCACTTTTTTTATTCCTTGTTCGCAGAGAACTGAAAGGGATAAGACTTTGGGTGAATGTACAGTTAAGGACACGAGGTGAATGCCCTAGAAATGAAACTCAGCCATGAACCTTAATAACTGTCCCTAGGATTATTTTGCTCTCTCATACATACACACAGAGTTCCCACTTCTGTAGTACATGACTAATTACACTGGCCTAACTTTACAGGGCTGTTATAAAGATGAGAGACCAGTGTGTGGAGAACCTTTGGCCCTCCAGATGTTGCTGAACTACTTCTCCCATCATGCCTCATTACGGACTAGGCTGAGAGGCGCAGATAAGAATGGGAGCCCCACAACATTTGCCAGGCCACAAGTTTCAAAACTCTGGGTGACAATGAAGCACTGAGGAGAAGTATAATATTAAGTGCCCACAATATTTCAGGATCTAAATTCTTTAAGAGGGTCTAAGCTTGTCAAACTGACAGAAGTGTCAGATATTCCCAGAGGGTCTACTCTCACATCTCAGAAGCAGCTGAGAAGCATCACATCTCATAGGATGTTGCATTAAGATGTAGGGCCTTGTATCCTCAGGGCATTACACTTGTAAAGAGCAAAAGCCCAGAAAAATGGAGATCACTCCTCTTCCACCAAATCACAGGGGTAAGTGCAGAAAATGGGTGGGGGAAGGGGGAGCGACAAATTTTGATTTTGTATTTCCACTAAGCTGTTCTGCTAAAGGGCATCTGTGCTAACTATGCCTTGCTTACAGAGGGCCAATGTAAGAACATTTCAAATCTCATATGCCCTATATGAGTCATGATTCCGGTAATATGCTAGCCCTACATAACACAGGGGAATATTATGGGGAAACAATTATAAGCGTATCATATCTGTTTTGTGCTTTGGACCTACCCCTTAAAACACAAAAGACTTTAAGGCTTAGTTCAGCTCAAACAAAATAAAACAATATCTGGTAGCTCTACTAAACATTAAAAAGTTTTATTTGGGGATAAATTGTTGTGAACTGTAGTCCATTTCATCGGAGGTGTCTCAAGAAGTGTGTTGCTGTTCACTAAGGCCTGCCCTGAATTAAATCTGACGGTCTTTAAGGAGGCACAACAGTAGTTCAGCTGCACCACCATCCCACCCCCAGCCAAAAAAATAAAAATAAAAGAGGACTGTGATACCTGTGTGTAACTGAAGATTTCAAAAGGCTTTGCTTATGGACAGCACCATCTTTAAGTACACAAACCCCATTTGCCTAGAATCTCAGACTACGTTTGCCAGATGTTTCTTATTTAAGCAATCACCCCCCAATTCCAGATGGCTGCTCCACCGAAAATATATATGTGGACACCCCTTATTTCAAGAGTGCACCACTTCCATAACATTCCACAGAAGAGACATCACAGCGGCCAGACCACATGCCTCATTCCTTAAGAAATTCACTTTGGCAACCTTGTTCAACCCGGGGTTCCTACAGGCTGCTGCTCCATTTTAAAGAGAGTCACTTGCTTAAAATTACCCTCACTTGCAAGCAACTTGGGAGGCAGGGTGAGGGTGGAGGCGGCGGGGGGGGGGAAGCCTTTCTTCAGCACCAGAACATGAGGAGAGAAACTTTTCTTTACACACACATACACGCCTCCCTTTCTCCCCACCACCACCACTCGCAGAGAGAGAGGGAGAGAAGCAAAGCTTGATCTAAGTGAGCAGCCCTGGCAGTCTTAATGGAAAGCAGCACTTCCCCCGACCACTAGTATTCTAGTCCCTTTGTTTCCGCTTGCCCTGGTTACCCACTTTCGACCTCTTCAGTAGTCTTTACTCAGTTCTCTCACAAACAAGGAGTCCTTCCACCCTCCCTTTACTCCCCTGCTGTGTCGCATTCCTCCATTTCACTGGCAAGGGGGAAAACATGAGCAAAGGCTTAAGCAAAGAAAGAAGTTGCAGGGAGGGGAGCGAGGGAGGGAGGGAGAGAGACAGACGGACCGAGGGAACGGACCGACGGAAGGAAGGACAGGCAGGCAGGCAGGCAAGCCGCCTTCTTCAAGTTATGCTGGCAAACAGCATGACTGAAGTTCTAGGCCTCTGTCTCAAGCTGACCTTTGCAGGAGGCCCTCCCGCTGCAGCCGAGTCAGGTATTTAAGCACAGCTGGGATCTCATTCTTTTCTAAAGCACACAAAGATCTTCAGGGGGAAGATCAAGACATTCAAAGCTGATGGGGAGGGGAAGAGAGAGAGAGGAAGAAAGGGAGAATGAAAGAATTGGTGATAGCAAAGAGTGGGGGAAGAACAAAAAAGAAAGTCATATCTTCAAGATAGATCAGCCCGACCTATTTCTGATAGAAAGTTACTCTACCAAGAAAAGGGGGAAGTCCATGTTTTGTCTCAGGAAAAAAAAATAACAAGGAAGCAATCTTCCTGATAAAGCCTCTGTTTGTCAAGTTCCAATGACTTTCTTTAGACCACTGTTAGGTTTTGTGAGGTTTATTTTATTTTTTTATTTTTTGGCCGTTAAGGAAAGGGGGAGGACTGGAAGGCTGAAATCTTTGCTTTTTATTACTCTCCCTGAAACTGTTTTATGTCCTGCTTTAACAAAACCCAGGCCCATGAGGGCTTATTGTTGTAAAGTATCTGGTTTCAAGATGCTCACCATCTGTATGGAACCAACCTAGCGCCTTCAGCTGGATCCTACCATCCTTCCTTCTAAAGCGCCTCTAAAACTACAGCCTGAACTTTGCCAACACAGCCCACAGCCCCTTAGTTATGTTTGTGTTTCAGCCCTTTGGGAGCATTAAAAAGAATCTCTTCAGTAGTTTTAGGTCAAGGGTGGGCAATCTGTAACCCTCCAGATGTTGATGGACTGCAACTCCCACCAGTCCGACGTCAGTACTGAGGGATGATGGGAGTTGCAGTCCAGGAATCTCTATAAGGCCACAAGTCACCCACCCTCAGCTATAAGTACAACCACTTCAGGGAGCTAATCGCCTCAAGCTGGGCTGAACTTCAAAAGTACTGTTCCAAAGCTCAATGAATTTATAGCTGCCTCAAACCAGACCACAAAAACTCCAAACACATGAAATTGCTGAGACATTTAGTTAGCAAAATAACTCCCTCCCCCCAAACTTGGACCAAGTGTGTGCAGACAAATATTGGCTAACAATAATAGAATTAAATAATAGATTTATATTTTTATTTTAATTCAAGTTTGCCCTCCTAAACACAGAGAATTCTGGCATACATTAAGTAAACCAATTAAGGATGTTTTCATAGTAACTTTAAAAAGAGAAAGAGCGAGACACCAAAGAGAGATCTTGACCACATTACAAGCTTAATTGTAGCCATATGCTATCTTGTTGCATTCAAGTAGCTTCAATTCCTAAGTGAAGCAGTGGTCTCCAATGTACGTTTCGACATGCATGTACGTACTTTCAAAAGACAAGCACAGCCACTTTGAGATTCAGAAATGGGAAATATTTTCAGTTGTTGGCAGCATTTGCTCTTCAGCCTCAAGGAGACTCTCTGATGTTCCTCTAACACCTCCTGTCTTATACCTTATTAGGGTGCTGCATGTATGATGCTAGGGAATGGTTCTATATCACACAGAAGAAGCACAAGGGACTCATATTTTCAGACTTTTCCTTATGGGCCTTGAAGAAAAGGCATTTTTTACAAAATCTTTTCCTCACTTCTTTCTCCACTGTCAGCTATACATCTCTTCAACATCAATAAAAGCCTTAAACCTTGGTTTCCAAAAAGAACAATGGTGCTGGTGGGAATGCAAAGCAGCCAAGCCAATGTTACTTCATTGTATTTGGAGAGATGTGAGAAAAGCAACACCCCACTCCTGTGGCTGATACATGGGTTTTCAGGTGCAACATCTTACACTCAATATAGTTCAAGGTACATTAAGGAATCTGTGGAATGCTCTAACTGGAACCCACCACCACCCTTAGTAGTTAAAGGAACTTAATTCAAACCAGGAGTCTGGTTACCTGGTGCAGGCTTTCTGTTGGGAACACTGATGAACATTTTATAATGGCAATATTTATAGTTCTAATGTAAAACAAGTTTGTAGCTGGCCTGGCAGTGCTTTCAAGAAAGAGTGAAACACCACAAAGAGGGTGTATGTGTAGTCACTCTTCTCTTATTAATCATATCAGAAATCTACTTTGAGAACTGAAATTGAAGTGTGCCAGTTACTTCACACAAAGTAAACTTCAATCAGCAAAATCCTCTGAGTCAGTTAAAGAACCATCTGTCTGGTGGATAACTTATTTGAGTGGTAAGGACATTTGGCTTCCCTGATATTACAGAAGATGCTAATGGGTTGGAAGGAGTCCACCTTATTGGATGATGTGATATAACACCCATGTCATAAGAGGGCACTTTTGTGCACATGACCTTGTGCAGAAATTATTCGGAACCCAATGTAAACAAACTTCTCAATTCTACTTCAAGAGCCACAGTCCAACAAATGCTCATACAGGGAAAGTAATTAATACATAGACACTGGATGAAAAGATACAGAGGCAGAAGAGTATGCATAACACCCTTAATCATATTAGTCTACACAGTCCTCTGTAAACATGACAATGTTGGACAAAGCATCCCAATGGGAGAGGAGGGAAAAGTTTTGTCATCTACATGGACCAAGCCACATTCAGTACCTATCAAAAGGGAAAGGTATAATCCACATGTCACCTTCTAGTACCAGTGGCAGCTAGATTGGGTATATTTCACCACCTCTTCCATATCTTTGAGATCAAAGAAGTAGCAAAGTTTGGTGATCTCTGGCTTGGATTCTTAGCTAGTTCTCTTGGGCCAGACTGCACATTTCTGGCCTATAGTTTTGTTTAACTATTGCTACAACTATTACTGTGTTTACAACACTTCTTAATGGAAAAGTGCTCAACAGCCGACAATGCTATTGCCATGCTACAATAACCATCTTGCAGGGTACTGTCCCTAAAGAAGCTGAGTCTGAGAAGCTGCTGGCTTCTCCCAGACCACACAGTTAGTCAAATGATAACAACACTGGCACTGGAACCCTGCCCAGATCAAGCCCTGCCTCCAATTCAGTCACATACACTAACAATCTGGTGAGGGGAGAACTAGACATCTTGAGCATACAGCCTTTTTTGCTTCTCAAGAAATTGTCAATATTTTCAGCATGAAGCAGTCATGAATATATTCTTGACCAAAAGAGTACACTATATGTGTTGCTACAGGTTCACATGATGTTTTCTAAGCCAAAGTATTTCCTACTTTAGAAACACCAAAGAATATCAAAGCCCATGCTTTTAGGCTGCTTAAAAATGCCAGTGCCTTCTACAACATTACAGAGAGGGGTATGAGTGTGTGTATGGGTCAATCCACTTCAAGCTGTTGTTAACAGGAAATATGTATGTCAGACCTGTACATCGGCTGTAGGTTACAGCTCAAGCTTTGACAAGAAAAATACTGTATTAGGGTTTTCAAGCATAGAAAACCTCCCTTTAGTAGAGAAAGGTGGTGGAGTAATAATGGGAGGTTTTACCAAGCCATCTTCTGCCACAGAAATGAAACAAACAGGTAATCTACTGCTGACACGTAACACAGCCAACAACAGGAAAACACACTTTACATATCTGGAACCCTTCATATCTGGTGTGAGTGAAAACTGAATTAGTTCCAGCTGTCTCTCCAACCTCATCCCTGGAAAAGACCATAAACACTGCTGTTTTTCTAAAGGGCAAGCAGGAAACACAACAGATGCAATTCAAGAACCCTCCTCTTAGAGGCAGGCCATAGCTGAAATAAGCTGAAAACAGAAGAGATGCCTGGAGCTCTTTGATGTTCATGAATCACAGAAACACTCACAAAAATTCCTGTAAACCAGATGTCATCTACTTACCAGACTGAGAAAGGAACTCCCAAAGCAAGACAGAATACAGTACAGTATACACATACAACAGAGAGGGAGCGAGAGAGCAGGTCCTTCTGCTCTACAGATCCTTTTTCAACCAATTCCCATTTATGAAGAGGAAAGGAGGGGGGAGGGAGAGAGAATAAGGTGAAGGGAGATTATGCCATTCAGATTATGCCACTCGTCATGATTAAGAAAGAGAAGATATGATGATGTTGCCATTATATAAGGAACTATTTGTGCCTACTTTCAGCAGCTCTATGCAACCCAAGAAAAGACACACATCACTTTCCTGGGGTTACCAACCATAATGCTGGACAAGAAACAGAGCCATATTCTAACTGAGTTTGAATTCCCAGCCACAGGCAAATAGGGCAGCTCAGCATCATAACATCTGCTTTGCAAGCAAAAATACCAAGCCAGGTCCCATTCTTGAAATCTCCAGGTAGGACTGCAAAAGAGCTCTGCCTAGAACCCTGGAGAGCTGCTGCCTGTCAAATACTGGACTCAAAGGAAGGCCAATGGTCTGACGCGGTAGGAGGTAACTTCCTATGAGCTTGACACACATATACTCCCACCTGCCAGGTAAGATACAGTCTCTACAAATATCCTGCAAAGAAAACCACCTCATCAGGAATGCTCATTTCCCCCATCTCAAAGACATGGTACCAAGCTAATACATAGTATCCCTTAAGAAAGTGTATAATAATGTAGACTGTAAGCAATTTATGTATATTGTCTTCTTTTAAGTCCCTAGGTTTGGTCCCACAGGTTGCCACATTTATGATGATAATAACAGTATGAATTTTCTTGTTCCATCTCCACATAATTGCTTCTCAATTTCTACATGTAATCCACATATTTCAACACTAGCTGAAGATGAAGCTGGCAAACTAGTATTTCATTACTCATTCACATGCCTAGATGGTGCTCTTCCCAGTTCCTCTTAATGTGGTTTAAAGTGGTAACAATTAACGCATGTCTCTCAGAACAAGAATCACTTTGAAGTTCTTTTTTGATGTCTGAGAGAGCTTTAGGAACTGGTGGGTCTTAAGAACCACAATGGACTGCTTTCTTTATTAGGGTGAAACACTGCCCTCCCTCCAAGCCAGAAATAAACACCAGTGTTTTTAAAGTTTGTGAAGAAGTATCTTTGCCAAAATCTACTTCAGAACAAGTATTGCACCTACCATTGGCAAGCACACATACACCCATTTTTCATGACTTTCAATGGAACAACCGACTTGGAAAGTAATTGAAAACTAGTTCTCTCACCTGAACCCATTCTCCACAGTTTCTGTAGCCCGGACACTTGCTGTAGCCCTCAAAGTTTTGCTGGACAACCCAAGTACAGATGGCAGAAGTTTGTTTTTAAAATCAGCACAACTCCATTCCTCTTCTTCATTCAAGGTAGGGAGATAGCCACAGTCTACTTTTAAGGTGCCCAGTCCATTGCTGTTAATGTAAGCAGGATTTTCTCCTCCACTCCTTACATATTCGAGGTATATATCAGAAGTTAAAAACATCTGGTAAGCATTTTCCTCCATCACCGTCTGAATCTCAGTCTGTGCCTGATCAAACATTATAGAATCGATGTGCTGTTTCTTGATACTATCCCTTATGTAGGTCTTTGTGGCGGGCTTGAGTTGTTTGGAGACAATGCTGTTGTTCTCAATGTACCTTTTGTAGATAGCTTTGGCGACTCTCAAAGTTTTGGTATCCTTAAGGTCCATCTGTCTGAAGCCATTGCAGGCAAACCAGAAGTCTAAAGTATCCACACATTTCTCTCTTTCCAGGAAGGTCCTGAAGAGATAGGCACCATCTTGATCTCCCAGCAAGGAATGCAAAGATTTGGTCCATCGTGCGAGAGGGGAGTCTGGAGATGCACTGCCTTCTGGTTCCCCAAGACCATCCTCATTCCTCCGTGGTGTAGAAGAAACTGACATGGCCTTGAAGCTTTGGTTTTTCACAACAAACAAATGGGCAGCCAGGTGGCATGGTGTCTCTCCTTCTTCCCCTGGTACAGGGGGGCGTGGGGCATCTTCTCTGAAGCTACTACTGGGGTCTGGAAGGTGAGTCAGCAATGCTGCACTGCTCATGGTTCTTTCTGGAGTGCCTTCTGGTTGGGCTTATTTTTCCCCCTCCTTTTAAAGTTCCTCTGTAATCTGTGTGTGCCTCTCTCTTCTTTCTCAAGTCAGCAGGGGATCCTCTGAGTCTTCTCTCTTGAAGGGAAAAAAAAGGAGGGGGGAAGTATTGATCTAATCAAAACCAGATCCACCCAACATCAAAGACAAAAAGTAAACAGGCTTTTCAACTCTTCACATTAAAATAAAGTGGCAACCGCAGCTATCTGCAGCGCTAATCAAAAGTATCAGATATGCTTTTCAAAGAGAAAGACTGAACTCTGTGCACACTTTTAACTTTGGTGTGGAGGGAGCAAGGGGGGGAAGGTTGGAAACAGCAAAAGAGAGAGAGAGAACTCTTAATTATTGCCTATAAAATCAAGATATGCAAAAAGAAAACCATCATGAACTTTTCTCTCCTAACTGATGATAAGATCTGAAAAGTCCCAGGAATAATCTTGGATTCCTACATTGTTAAACCCATTTTGGAGACTTAAAAAAAAACTTTCAAGTTTTGATTCCCTCCCTCTTTGGTAGATAACTCAAGGCAGAGAACAAAACGTGCTTTCCTCAGCATCTGGTTTCCATTTCTCTCCCCCAACCAACTCTTCAACTCCTTCAACTTTTAGATTATGATCACCAGAAACCCTTCGAAGCACAACCAATGCTTGATGCTCCCCTGAAACTACACACTGAGATTTTTTTTCAAAGAAAATGGGAAGACAGAGACAATATTGGCCAGATGCTATTTTAAAATTATATCTGATTCACTTCTGATCAATTGTTCACCCAGCCACCTTCAGATAAATACCATGGACTCAGGAAAAAAAATCCATGCAATAGTTATACTACTCACACATTTAAAACATCTGTAAGTTTAATAAAACCCACCCACTGGGAGCAAAAGATTGTAGTTTTTGCCTCCCCTTGGTATTGCCATGCTGTTCCCCCACCACCACCCCCATAAATAGCTTGGTTCCATCATTTAAAAGTGTACTAACTAGATCTTTGAGAGTTGCATGTTAGTTCCAAACATCCTTGATTAGGTTACATAGATGAAAATGAGCTTCTCCATTCACTTCCAACAAAATCAGCATCCAAACCAAAGCAAGCTGGATTTCCAAATACAGTATGCGAGGAGATCAAACTGACAAACAATATTGCCTTCCAATATCTTCACTTAACATCTCAAACACCACAATCCGGAACACAGATAAACAAAGATGTAAAAGTTCAATATGTAGATTCCAGGATCGCCCATCAAATTCCGCTACGGAGATTTCAAAAGCCAGTTCGAAACAAAAAAAAATGTATGAAGAGGGGGAGAGAGCAAGTGTGGCTTTTCTCTTGTAATGTACCTGAAGTGGAGCTGGCATTCTAAGTCTGCCCGTTCCATCCTCAAGCTCTCCTTAGTCTTACAGAAAGCAAACACTCCCCTCACAGACAGAAGGAGGGAGTAGGGAGGCAATTAGAAAACGAAAACCATTTCTCCTTTAAAAAAAAACAACAACACAAAAAACTACCTTTTATGAGGCACCCTGCCTTCAAAGCAGAAACCTCAAGAGGGAGTTAAAAAAAATTAAAAAAAAAAGATCTCTAGAAATGGCGACTGACTGAAGGGATGGGGGGGGTTGCCGAGAGATCTCATGAAGGGAGAAAAGGAACGGGAGGGGGGGGCAGAGAAGTCTTTAAAACCAGTTGCTTTCTTCAAGTCGTATGTAACAACTGACTCCCTACGTAAGCATGCAGCGGCCTCTTGAAGTTCAGTGAGGGTGTTGATACATGCGGGAGGGGTATATGAGAAGAGGCAGGAGTCCCATCGCATCCTCGCTTCCTACCTACCTACAAAAAAAATTATAATCTTGGATCTCTCTCTGCCTTTTGAAGCAGGTTTTCGAAAGGGATGGGGGGGGGACTCATTACCACTTTCCTGAGATATATTGCTCGGGTGGGGGCTCTGTCCCTCTCTCTCACCAGCGACCTCCTCTCCACAAACACACTTTACTTGTTATCATGATTATGCATACAAATCTTACCCCCCCCCGCCCGCACGCCAGCTCTATCTTCTTACCAAGCGCTGCTCGCTCATAACACAGAAATAGCTTTCCTTAACAACTTCAAAGCTCCAGCCAAGAGGACATCAAAGCGTTCTGGGAGAAAAGGGGGGGGGGAGAAGGCAAGCAGGCAGGCAGGCAGGAGCCCCAGCAGCACGGCAATAACACACATTCTTTTTACAACTTACCATTGATCTTCCCCAGTAGTTTTGGCGGGGGGGGGATTTTTCCCGCCCCCTCCGTCCACGGGCGCTCAGTACTTCCTTAAAAAAAAAACCACCACCAGCCCCCCTCCACCTCTCTTAGCTCTTTCCTATGGAAAAGAGGGGTTGAAAAAAGTAATCCGCAATCTTACACCGATTCCACCACCCCTTCTAGATTCTCGTTCCCCCACCTTCTCTCCAGCTTCGCAAGAGCATGAGAGGATTTT